CGGAGGGGACAGTGGGTGCAGTGGCTGGCAGGGAGAAGGGGCGTGAAGAACGTAGCACAGTAACTTGAGGTGCGTGGAGGCTCCCACCTGCCCTTTGCAGAAAGCCTTGATCTCCTCCGGGGTGGTCTCTTCCCCGCTCTTCAGCTGAATGCAGGCACAGACTTCCTCCCCCATCCGGTCATCCTTCACTCCCACCACCTGCCGGGGTCACAGACAGGCCTCAGCCCTCACCATCCCCACGGGTGGCTCCTGCTCCCGGGGCTCCCTGGCCCGGGGGCCTCACCTGCACTTCCTGCACCTTCGGGTGCGTGTGCAGGAAGTCCTCCAGCTCGGTGGGGTAGATGTTCTCGCCGCCCCGGATGATCATGTCCTTGGAGCGGCCCACGATTTTGCAGAAGCCCTGCTCGTCCATGGTGGCAATGTCTCTGCAAGGAAAGGCCAGAAATGGCCTCTTGCCTCTGCCCAACCGGCCGGCGCACTCACCCATCCATCCAACCTCCACTGAGCACCTACTCTGTGTCCTGCATTGCTCTAGGCTCTGGAGGCCACAGCACGAACAAGACAGTCCCTGGGCCTTACAGTCTAGTGGGGGAGGGAGAAAAAAACAAGCCAATACCTATAGCGTGGCCTCTCTCAACAGATCTAGGCACATGCTGACTTTCTTTTTTAATTTATTGATTTGAGGGAGAGAGAAGAAACACTGATTTGTTGTTCCACTTATTTATGCATTCATTGGTTGATTCTTTTTTAAAAATATATATTTTTATAGATTTCAGAGCAGAGGGAGAGGGAGAAGGAGAGAGAGATAGAAACATCAATGATGAGAGAGAATCATTGATCGGTTGCTTCCTATATGCCTCCCGCTGGGGATCGAGCCCACAATCTGGGCATGTGCCCTGATCAGGAATCGATCTGTGACCTCCTGGTTCATAGGTCGAATGAGCCACACTGGCCGGGCCATTGGTTGGGTCTTGTATGTGCCTGACCGGGAATCAAACTTGCATCCTTGGGGCATGGGGACCGTGCTCTAACCACCCCAGCTACCTGGCCAGGGCTTGACTTCTTTTCTCTCATTCAGGTCTCAGATCAAAGGCTTACACCTTGGGAGGCCTTCTCTGACCACTCAAGCTACCCTCTCTGTAAGAGGCACTTCCTTTCCTCTGATCTTATATTCTCTTCTTCATTTTTATCAACACCTGAAATTCTCTTATTTGTGTTGGTCTCCCTCCACCAGACATGTGCGAAGTAACAGTAAGATCGTTCTCATCTTGCTTTCCACTGGTCTGCCAGTGTCCAGAAGAGGGGCAGGTGAGTAAGAATTTGTTGACTTAACAAATGAGTGTCTGACTCTTGGCTCCAATTGTGGAGACACTGGTGTAGTGCTCGGTCCAGGGGTCCTAGGCCCTGACTCTGATGGTCCCCAGCTCAGCCTCCGGACCCCAGCTTCCCCTCAGCAGCCGAGCCCTCTGCCCCGCTCCGCCCTCTCACCCTGTCCGATACCACTTGTCCTGTCCGATGACTTCCTCGGTCTTCTGGGGCTCCCCCCAGTAGCCCAGCATGACGCAGTACCCTCGGATCCACAGCTCTCCGGGTGTGTTCAGCTCTGCCATGGTCCCCAGCTCCATGTTCACGATCTGGGCCTGGGACGGGGCAGCTTCAGCTTCATGATTCTGCCCACACTTTGGGATTTCTCCCCCACCCATTTCAGGATGGGGTGGAGGGAGAGACTTGGGAATGGCTGGGAGCTTCGTCTTTCCTCCTCCTCTAATAGTGAGCCCTCCCCCTGACCCCTTCCCCAAGGAAGGGACACAAAGGCCAGAGCGGACCCATCACCAGGCAGACGCCTGAGCCGGGCACACAGAACAGGGAGGCCCAGCGCAGAGGGCCTGCGGACACGGAGGGGACAGGAGCTGCCAGAGGAGGAGGCCCATGGCGGGCCGGGCGGGCTGAGGCGTTACAAACTGTGCAGAGGAAGTGGCCGTGTTCCCTGACTTGCCATGTGGCAGCAAACAGAGGCGCCAAAGAGGGTGGTGTGGTGAGGCCGTGTGAACAGGACAGGCGGCAGAGAGGCAGCCTGAAAGCCAGGCAGGGAACTGGGCCGCAGCCAGCGTGAAAGGAAAACGCGGCCTCTGCGTGCCTCAGTGTTCGCCTCCGTGAAATGGGGAGAAGGGCGCTGGCCCCGTGCAGGGCATCCCCCCACATGGCGGGGAGGCTGTCAGACGCCTGGGAGGGAGGGGGCTGAGGTCACGGCACGCTCACTCCGGGGGGGAGGGCAGGAAGGATTCGCACCAGGCCGGCAGAGGAAGCAGCTGCCTGGGCACCCGGGCAGAGACCTCAGGGCGCCAGGGCACAGGGGGCAAGGGGAACCAGGCGTGGGCTGGCACAAAGCTCCAGCGACGGAGCAGGAGGGGAGTCACCGCTGGGAATGTAACAGTGAGAGGTGTTGGGGGTCAGCCTGGAGGCGCAAGGGGGTCCCCAAAGGGCCAGGCTGCTTGGGAAAGTCAGTATTTCCGCCAAGCGGATGGAGGAACCCGGAGGTGAGGGTAGGGGGACTGGGAGGTGGGGGTGAGCAGAGAGCGCTGTCAGGAAAAATCTCTGTGCCTGGCTCCTCTTTGAGGCTGTCCTGGCTGCCCCAGAACAGACAGTGGGGCTTGGCAAAAACACACCTCAGACAGGAAGGGAGCTGCGGAGAGGCGCAGCTGGCAGCTGCTCAGGCCGCCCTCAGCTCTTCCTCCGGGGCCTCAGCCCGCAGAGGAAGCCCAGGCCCGGCCGGGGAAGACCCTGCTGCGGGAGGGAGGGCGTCTCTGCAGGGGGTGGGCACTTGGGCTCCGTGGTCGGGGCTCACCTCTGTGTGAGGCATGATCCTGCCCACGCTCTGGGACTTCTGCTCCTCCGTGTCCTCGGGGAAGCTCATGAAGGTCACAGGACTGTTCTCTGTGGTCCCATAGGCGACCTGGAGGGCCCAGAGAGGGTGTCTGAGGGGAAGGAGGGAAGGAGAAAGGGAGGGAGGGAGGGAGGGAGGGAGGGAAAGAGGGAGGGGGGTAGCTTCGGAGAAAGGGGGGAGCCACCCTGAGGGACGGAAGGAATTGGGGGGAAGTGGAGGACAGCTGAATGGTGGGGAAAGAGGGGCAGTGGGTCGAGGTCAGAGGTCAGGAGGCAGAGCCGCCAGGACACTGGTCTGACTCAACGAACAGGGGCCCCGGATGCGAAACGGAGAGCAGGGGAGCCATCCTCTCCCAGCCGGGGCTCGCTCAGTCTCTGGCTCAGTCTCTGTCTCCCTGGAGCGGCCCCACGCCACCGTCTGTGGCCCCCAGCCTTCCCCGGGCCCAGCCTTCTCCCCCCATCCCCAGGCCGCCTTAGCCCCACTTCCTGACTTCAGGCCACATCAACCCCTCCCCCTCCCTCCCAAGCCAGAGATCCCACCAGCTGATGAGAAAGCCAGCCTGCCTGGCCCAGCTAGGAGCCGCAGACCCATTACCCCCACCCTACCCTGCCCTGTCCGTCCCCCAAAACCCGGGACAAGTGCCTGGCCTTGGGGTGAGTGCCCCTATGCTCTGGAGACTTTCCTGTGGGTTTTATTTCCATCAAAATAAAAATCCAGCCAACGCAAGGATTCCTAAGCCAGTGGCCCCCTCTGCCCTCCCCCCACCCCCCATCCCTAGTGGTTGGAACATCCTGAGCAACAGAAAACCAGAAGCCAGTCTTGGAGGAGCCTGAATACCATCCGGGAATGTCCTGGGCACGTCTGATCCTCACTGAGAGGCAACGGGGTGAAAGGGGCTTGGAGGAGGGGCAGGCCCCCACGCCCGAGTGAGGAGGGGGCTAGCCACTCTGTATCCTATGTCCTTCCCAGTCTGCAAAGACACGGGACCTTTGTCCTCCACACCGCTCCCCCCCCCCCCCCCCCCCCCCCCCCCCCCCACTTCCCTGTGCCGGCTGGCACCGCTCAGGCACAGCTGGAGTCTGGAAATCCCTGGGGTCCAGTTCCTGCACCCCCTCCCGGCACAGACCGCATTCCCCGCCAGGCAGCCCCGCACGGAGTCCCTGATTGCCCCCCCCACCCCCCACTTTCCGCAGGCATCCGGACACACAGAGGCCTGGTCGGCTGGGGCAGGGCTGCCCACAGGACCTGGGCCCCCTTGCCCGCCCGGCCCTCCTGGTCCTGGGGCCACTGCCCAGGTGTGGCCTCTGCCAAGTACATCTTGGCGCCACTCTGGCCGCCACCCTGGAGATGGGAGTGAGGGGACGGGATATTTTGAGGAGAGGAGGAGGGGTGGGGGTGGGACTGTGCTTGTTCAGTTGCCCTGACTCCCTGCCTGTGGTCTTCAGGTGTGTTTTGAGGTCTGTTGGTCACCCCCCTCCCTCTCCCCATCCTCTGCCCCTGACACACACACACACACACACACACACACACACACACACGCTGTTCAGGCTGGTCGGGCTGGTCTTAGCCATGGAAAAAGGGGAGAGTGGGTGCAGGGAAAAACCCAGCTTCAAGCTGGTAGATAGAGCCCCAGGCAAGTCCAAGGGCGTGGGGGGGGCGGGGTGAGAAGGACGGGGGGGGGGGGGGGGGGGGGAGCGCCCACCTCCCCGGGGCTGCCTGCGCGTCTGGCCGGAAGGGGGAGCCCGCCGCCAGGGCGGCTCGCACGCTCCGCTCGGCGGGCGCCGCACAAGAGCCCCATTAAAGCGCCGGCCGGGCTGGCCGACCGCGGCGGCGGCGAGACTCGCGTCCGGCCGTCCGGCCCCGCTTCCTCCCTCTCCGGGTCCAGGGCACCCGGCCCAGCGCGTCCGGGCGGGGGCGGGAGCACGGAGGCTCGGACTTGAGCAAACAAATACGTCCGCGGAACGCCCCCCTCCCCTCGGTGTCATCCCCCACCTCGCCCCCCAAAAACCCGGGGAAGGGGTTAGGCTCGGGGGTCTGGAGAGAAGCAGGATCCCGGAGCGGGGAGGAGGCGGAGGGCCAGGGTCCCGGTCCTGCAAGGTCGCCAGCGGGGAGGGGCCACCCCCACCCCCACCCCCACCCCGCGGAGGGCGGGGGCGCATCCCCGGGCGGGCGGGCGGGAGCCGAGCCCGATGGCCTCGGGGCTCCACGTAGGAGCTGGCTCCGGCTGTCCGCTGCGGTCAGGGCGGCCGTATAAATAGGGCGGGAGACCCGGGCGCCGAGGACTTCCCGCTGCTGCCCGGTGCCCCGCCGTCGTCGTCGTCGTCGCCGTCCAGGTCCTCCTGCCGCCCCCAGCCCGGCCCCAGGCGTCCCGGCCATGGCCGGCCCGGTGCTCCTGCTCAGCCTCGGCCTCCTGGCCGGCCTGCTGCCCGCGCTGGCCGCCTGCCCCCCGAGCTGCCACTGCCACGGCGACCTGCAGCACGTCATCTGCGACAAGGTGGGCCTGCAGAAGGTGCCCAAGGTCTCGGAGAAGACCAAGCTGCTCAACCTCCAGCGCAACAGCTTCCCCGTGCTGGCCGCCAACGCCTTCCGGGGCCTGCCCGGCCTGGTGTCGCTGCACCTGCAGCACTGCCAGATCCGCGAGGTGGCCGCCGGGGCCTTCCGGGGCCTCAAGCAGCTCATCTACCTGTACCTGTCCCACAACGACATCCGCGTGCTGCGCGCCGGCGCCTTCGACGACCTGACCGAGCTCACCTACCTCTACCTGGACCACAACAAGGTCACCGAGCTGCCCCGGGGGCTGCTGTCCCCGCTAGTCAACCTCTTCATCCTGCAGCTCAACAACAACAAGATCCGCGAGCTGCGGGCCGGGGCCTTCCAGGGCGCCAAGGACCTGCGCTGGCTCTACCTGTCCGAGAACGCGCTCAGCGCCCTGCAGCCGGGGGCCCTGGACGACGTGGAGAACCTGGCCAAGTTCCACCTGGACAGGAACCAGCTGTCCAGCTACCCCGCCGCAGCCCTGAGCAAGCTGCGCGTGGTGGAGGAGCTGAAGCTGTCCCACAACCCGCTCCGGAGCATCCCCGACGGCGCCTTCCAGTCCTTCGGCCGCTACCTGGAGACGCTCTGGCTGGACAGCACCAGCCTGGACAAGGTGAGCCCCGGGCGGCGGTGCTGGGCCCCGGCCCCGGCCCCATCTTCGCTGCCCGGAGGCCCAGGGAGCCAGGGCCGCGGGGGGGACACCGTCCCCTCTGTCCTAAAACTGCCCCGTCCCTCTGGCTGTCTCCTCGGCGAGGAGCTCTGTCTCTCATCTGGCCCAGCAGCCCCTGCCCTCCTAGCATGTCTACTTAGAAGCGGGGCCCGGCTGCCCAGGCCCCTCCAATGGCCCCTAGGAAGCTGGTCCAGGGCCCTCCAAGTCCCCCACTGTGGGCAGCAGCCACCTCTTCCTGTCGGGCCTTCGGCCCCTCCTCTTCTGTTTTTCTGTCTCCGGCAAACCTACCGCCCCACAAAGGAAGGTTTGTTTATTGAGGAGCCTTCCAGAGGAGCTGGGTGAATCGGGCCCACAAAGAGACCCTGTTCCCGGAGCGGGGTGTGCGTGTGCGTGTGCGTGTGTGTGTGCGTGTGGTGGGTTGGGGGGGCTGGGGAGCAAGGGGGGAGCAAATACCCAAGGAAGACCTCCTCCAAACACCCCAGGGGCCGTGGCGAATGCCCCCCCTCCGTCCACACACACATGCCACTGCATTCTCAGGTCCATTTCAACCAAATGGGGGCCAGGGACCAGAGCCACCCGCCCCCAAGATTGCAGGCCCAGCCCCCCAGGAGCTCTGTGAAAGGGCAAAGGCAGGCACCACACACCGTTGTCCACCTCTGGCTCAGGTCCCCAGTGTCTCCCGACGGGAAAGACGAGCTGTGCCACCCTGTCCCCTGCCCACCCCAGCCACCAGCCCCCTCTCCTGGCTGCAGCCTCGTGGAATCCCTCCTCCCCTATGAGGCTCAGCACCTGGCCCGGTGGGGCTGGCTGCCTTGGGTCCGGGCGGAATCCCTTCTGGGGGCTGGAAACATGGCTGTGGTGCAGGCGCTGCGGCCGGGAGTTCGGGCCGGCACCAGGGAAAGGCGGGGGAGGCGGCCACCAGAGCCGCCTGGTTACAGAGCCCCTCACACCCACCCTGGCCACAAGCATGGCGATAAGGACAGAATCAAACCTGGACGGCGGCCAGCCTTTGTTTGCATGAACGGAGCCTGCCCTTCCCCACCCTGGCCCCTCCCTCCCTCGCTGAAGTCAGAGTCCCGTCTGGGGGGGGGGGGGGGGGGGGCAGTGCCAGAGCTGCTTTTCGATGGGCAGCAGAGCAGGGGCAGCAGGGACGGACCTGGGCCAGGGGAGGCCGGGCAGGATCCGTGACGCCCGGGCCAAGGTGTGGGCACCAATAGAACATTTCCTCTGGAACAGTCCAGCCTGGCCAAAGGCTCCATCCACCAAGGAGGCTCCACAAATAGCGGCTGGCAGGCGGCGAGGGAGCAGCGAGGACAGGACTGGGGGAAGTCCCGGCACCCTGGGGCTGCGGGGAGCCTGGGCCCATGCCCATCCCACCACACACTGACCTGCTTCACCCTCTGCCAGCCTGGGCCAAGCTCTGGCAGCCTCCCCAGGGGCGCTGTTTGCGCAGGGAGAGAGGTGCCAGGGGTGGAGGAGCTGGGTGTGGTCCTACAGCTACTGTGGACTCCCTGATGTGACCCTGGGTGAGGGACTTCACTTTCCCCCCTGCCTGCAGGCTGGACACAGCACGAGCTACCTCTAAAGGTGGTTGCTTGCACTCAAGCAGTGGTCGGCAAACTCATTAGTCAACAGAGCCGGATAGCAACAGTGCAGTGATTGGGATTTCTCTTGAGTCGAAAACCCACTTTGCGCATGGGCCACGAAGTTTCAATCGCACTGAACGTGCATGCCCACAAGTGGCATTTTGTGGAAGAGCCACACTCAAGGGGCCCGAGAGCTGCTTGGGCCTCGGGAGCTGCGGTTTGCTGACCACTGCACTAAAGCATTAGAGACAACTTGGCCACTTTGAGACACTCCTCAGGGTGCTACTGCTTATGTCCAGGGAAGGACCCTGCCCCTCTGGAGTTGCAGAGCTGGGAGAGGCCGGGCCCTGGGGCCGGGGTGCTCACTCGTGGCTGCCTCGCCCCACAGATTTCCGACGGTGCCTTCCTGGGGGTGACCACGCTGAAGAACGTCCACCTGGAGAACAACCGCCTGACCCAGCTGCCCTCCAACTTCCCCTTCGACAACCTGGAGTCACTCACTCTCACCAACAACCCCTGGAAGTGTACCTGCCAGCTCCGGGGCCTCCGGAGGTGAGAGCACCCCCATGCCACCCCCAGAATCCCCCCCATGTGATGCAGTGGAGGCAGGCTGGCCTTTCGCAAAGACTCCTGGGCAGATGGCCTAGGTCTCTACCTGAGAGCAGAGGTCCTCTGTTTGTTCCTTCCCCCAGCGATGCCACATCTCTCCCCCAACCCCGGCATGCCTCTGTCTCTCCAGGTGGCTGGAAGCCAAGCCTTCCCGCCCCGATGCCACTTGTGCCTCACCTGCCAAGTTCAAGGGCCAGCACCTCCGCAACACGGACGCCTTCCGCAGCTGCAAGTCCCCCACTAAGAGGTCCAAGAAAGCCGGCCGCCACTGAACAGGTGGGCACAGGGCGGGCAGGCCGCAGCTGCCCAAGCCCGGAGGGGGGTCCCGGGGTATGCCCTCTCCACAGAGGGGCGAGCAGGCCCTCCAGTTTTGCAGGGAGCGGAGGGGGGATCCCGCCCACAGCTCTCCCCATTCTCCCCAAGCGTCCTCTGGGTTCCCAGAATCCTGACCCAATCCTTGCCTCCCTGCAGGTCCTGACCCGGCCAGTCCCGGCGACTGGTCTCTGCCTTCTGCTGGAGAAACTACTGACCGCCCACCTCTGACCCCGCCTTCTCCCACAGCCTCTGCTGACGCACAGAGCTGGCCTCCCCTGGATGCGTCCCGGCAGGGGGCTCGGCATCCAGCGTGAACCCAGCTCCGCCATCTCTGCCTGACAGCGAGGGCTCCATCACACCGGCTCCTCTCAGAGAAGTGGCTGCCGAGACCCTCAAGACCTTCAGAACCAGCACTGGGTGGCCATCAGGATGGCCGCCCTTCCGGAACCCTCCTTCCACTGTCCTCTCCCCTTTCCCTTCCGTTTGGAAACAAACATCAGATCCTTGCCCCGCCCCCTTGTGTCCAGAAAGGGTCTTGAGCCCATATGCCAACTCCGCCAGCCCCTGCTGCCAGGACGCTCCAGCAGGACGCTGGTGCTTTGCCAAACCGCCCCCTGCTGCGTCTCTCCCGGTTCCCATGAGTAAAAACGTATGTATGTCTGATAGTCACTCCCCGCCGTTCCCTCTCTCCGTGACGCGCCGCTGACGATGGGGTCAGACTGCATTTTCTCACATCCGCTTTCTGGAAGAGGGGTGGGCTGAGAGGGTCGACATTGGAGACCTGGCCTGGCTCATCCCCACACCCCAACATCTGTTCTCACCCCAGGCTGCCCTGCCTCCCTCCCCCAGCCCCAGCCCCCACTCACCACCAGCTCCTTTGCGTTCAGCTTGTGGATGATGGCTCGGACCACCTCGGGGGGTGCAGGGGACCCAGCGATCACACCTGGGTCAGAGGGAGGGCTGACACGGCTCGCTGCTGCCTCCCCAGGCCCCGGGGACCCCCTTCGCCCCCAGCTCTTTCTAGGGAAGAACATTCACTTCTCATCCCCGGTCCTGGACCTGCTCCTGCACTTGGCAGCTGGCCTTGGGCTGGTGTCCAGCGTGGCTGGGACCTTGCCTCCCTTCCTCCCAGATTTCTATGGTGACCTTTTTGCCCCCTCAGGACTGGGTGCCCATGTAGCGCGTCCAGGCCAATGCTGGCCTGACCACCCTTGGCCCCATCCCACCTCCACGCATGGTTGAGATGTCATAACTGGAGAAGTCTGGCTGGTTCAGCATGTCCACGAACATGGTGGGGGTGCCATACAGGAAGGAGCCTCTGTGCAAGGGGGGTGGCACCTCAAAATCAGGCTTGCAAGGAGAAGGGAACCCCCTCTTTCCACCCACCCACCCACCTTGAGCCTAGAGCACATGTGTCAAACACAAGGCCCGCGGGCCAAATCCGTCCCGCCAGGCCTTGCAATGTGGCCTGCACCGCGCTGTCATCACTGCACTCCGCTGCGTTTCCATCACAATGACAGTTCATGACTGTTCAGTAAACCATTCGGCCCGCGATTTAGGCTGGATTTTAGATTTTGGCCCCTTCTCTGATTGAGTTCGACACCCCTAGCCTAGAGGAAGGGCCGAGGCTGCCACGGAGGGAAGCAGGCAGGAGTTCGCTGGAGGCAGGAGCTGATGCTCTCCTGGGGCGCCCCCTCCCCTGTCTCCCTGACTCCTGGCTGGAGGGAGGCGACGTCCCGGAAAGGGATCAGGGCCCAGGATGAGGAATAGGAGGGTCTCGTGAGCCGGCAGGTAAGGGCCCACAGGTGCCCACCTCTCTTTGCTGACGGCCTCCAGCGCCATCTTGCCATCGAACACCGGAGAGGACAGGATGAGGGTGACGCCATGCATCATGCTCACCATGGTGCCCCCCACGGAGCCCAGGCAGTGGTACAGGGGGGTGGGCAGCACCACCCTCGACTCCTCTGGGGTCTGCAGACGGAGGCAGGAGGCGAGGTCTAGCCTGGAGCCCAAAGCCCCAGCAGCTAGTTCCTCTAGTCAGCAGGGGGCGCCCAGCAAGACCCCCCCCACCCATGCAGGGTACCAGCAAGCCTGCACCAGCACCCCCTCACCTTCAGGTGCAATTTCAAGCGCTCCCCTATGATGTTGGCGTTGTTGACAATGTTGTAGTGGGAGAGGGTGGCCCCCTTGGGGCTTCCTGTCGTTCCCTGATGAGACAAACAGGTGACACGTGGCCTCTTCCTCCCCATCCCCCTCACGCCCTGGGCCGCCCCCATGGGAGAGCTCTGGCCGGGAGTCAGGAGCCTGGGACTGCGGCCCCAGATCCTCTCATTCACGCAATACGTGTTCACCAGGGGTCACCACACGCCTGCGTGGTGTCAAGTGTTAGGATCCAGAAACATGGAGGAGGAGATTTCTGTCCACAATGCCTCTCACGTGGCTTAGAGAACTCCGTGGCCCAGCAGCAGACTCTGGGCCTCAATTTGCCCATCTGCTAAATGAGGGGGCCGGCTCTTCCTGTGCGTCTGCCCCTGGGCTGGGGACAAGAGGGCCGGGGAGGGGGACACGTGACCAGGGTCCCCATGGCTGATGGGTTCCAGAGGACCGCTGGGGCGAGCCCCAGGAGAAGGGTGGCTGCACGCCTGGCCTCCTTCGCGTGCCCTCCTTCTTGGGGAAGGGTCACGGGGGCAGGCGGGGGTTAGCATGCCAGCCCGGGCTCCGGCGCGGGCGACCTCTGCCTTACTGAGGTGAACTGGATGTTGACGGGGTCGTGGCAGGACAGGAACAGCTGGGCGTGCCGCAGCTCGGCCATATGCTGCTCTTTGCTCCCTGCGGCCACTATGTCGTCCAGGAGCATAGTCCCTGGCATTGGGGTGTCCACGGAGATGACCGTGGTCAGGTCTGGGAGCCTGGGGGGAGGGAGGATGGAGAGTCAGGGGCTGAGGACGGGCCCACAGACACACCAGCCTCCTCCCGGGGGTGGGGGGAGTGAATGAGGGGGCTGGGACGCCTCATGACACACTCCTAACCCGGGCCATCCCACCTCTGACTCCTCAGGAACCCTGGGTGGGCCTTCTCCACCTCCGGACAGATGTGCTTCAGGATGTTGTAGTATTGCTGGGTCTTGAATTGCTTGGGGAAGGCCAGGGCTTTGCAGCCCACCTGTGGGAGGGAGCCCCCTCCCCAGTCAGCAGAAAGCCCCCCCGCTGCTCTCTCTCTCATACACACGCACCACGACCCTTACACGCATGTACCACCTCTAACACCACACATTCAATCACACACTACTGCCGGGACACATACATGTACCGTACCACCAGACCACCCCCAACACATACACCAGCTTTGTATCTGCTCAACTACCTCCTCCCCCCACCCACTCACAGCCTAAGGAAGGACAGGCTCCCGGTACCCCCACCGGTGCATGCCTTCCCCGCCTCATCAACCAGAGCCCGTGTTCCAGGCACCCACCCAGCCCCAGGAACAGACCCAGGAACAGACCCTACCTTCTTGAGGGCAAACTCCAGTTCCATAGCCTGGTAGGCGGGGTTCACAGATACCTGATGGAGAGCCAGGGGATGTCAGGGTCCTGGGAAGACCTTGTCCCTCTCCTTGCCCCTCCACGCTCAGCAGGCAGAGAAACACCGTGCAGACAGAGGTAGCACCCTGCCCACCTGGCTCCCCTTGGTGGCTTCAGGAGAAAGCTACCCAAATAGCCAGGCAGGCGCTGGTTGGGTTCTGAGGCCACGAATGATGTTCCCCCACCTACCCAGCTGGGCCAGGCCAGCCCCTCCTCACCAGCACGATGCCCGCCTGGGCTGTGGCCAGCTGCAGGAGCACCCATGCATAGGAGTTGGGTCCCCACATGCCCAGCCGGTCACCCTTGCGAAGGCCGATACTCAGGAGCCCAGAAGCAGCTTTGTCCACCTGGTGTAAACAGACGGGGCACACGGGGTACGGTGTGGGCAAGCAGGGAGGGGCCACGGCTCCCACCTCAGCCCTCGGCCCAGCGGACCACAGCAGAGTCCCCCAGGAACAAGGGACAGGCCTCAGTGGACCTGGAGTGGGGCATGGAACACGGAATTAGCAACTGCCCCAGCGCGACTGATGCAGGAGGCATCCAGGCAACCTCTGCCCCAGTCCTGTCTCCATCTCCTAATGTCCCGTTCCCCCCACACACACACACACATACACACACCCCCGTCAGGTGCCACCCTTGTGGCTCCACCCAGCCAGGGAAGCCTGGGGGTAGCACCTGCCCACTTTCAGGGGTCAAGGTCAGGACCCACCTCTTCCTTGAGCTGAGCAAAGGTCAGTCTGACGTTCTCATGGACGACGATCAGCGCCTCTCGGTCCGGGAACTTTTGTGCCGCAGCATCCAGGCAGCGCCCCACGGTCTTGTTGATCAGACGGAACTTGGTGTAACCCTGGACATAGCTGAGGCCCCCGATGGGCAGCGTGGCAGTGCGGTCCTCTCCGGAGCTGCAGGGAGAGGCGCCGTGGGCTCCAGTGCGCCAGGCCAGGCCTCCCTGGCACCCAGGGCCTGGCACCCCCAGCCGGGAGGCAGGCTGCGAACTGGAGCCCTGGCCATGGAACTTAGGGGCCCTTCACCTGGGGGAGTTTCCAAACCAGAAGCTGACTTCCTGTCCTTTATCAGATTCCCCTCCCGGGTTTCCCAGTCAGAGCCAGGGCCCCGGAGCCTTGGTGCCAAATCACTGGAAAAGGAAACTGAGGCAAATCACATTCCTTGGACTAAGCAGAGAGGTTGCCTCAGGGCTAATAACCATGGCCTTATCCTAGACACCCTCGGGGGTTAGAAAGCCCCTGGGAATTCCTCAAAAGAAACCTTGATGTAAACTATGGACTTTGGTCGTAATAACGTATCAATGCCGGAAGCACTAACTGTACAAATGTACTACACTAATGCAAGATGTTAACAACAGGGAAACTGTGTCTGAGTGGGGTAGGCCAGTGGTCGGCAAGCTCACTAGTCAACAGAGCCAAATAGCAACAATACAATGATTGAAATTTCTTTTGAGAGCTAAATTTTTTAAACTGAAACTTCTTCTAACGCCACGTCTTCAAAATAGACTCGCCCAGGCCATGGTAATTTGTGGAAGAGCCACACTCAGGAGGCCAAAGAGCCACATGTGGCTCGAGAGCCGCAGTTTGCCGACCACAGGAGTAGGTATATGGAACTCTAGTTCGACCTGCTGGGTTATTCTGTAACTGTAACACTGTATTGAAAAAATTAAGTCTAGCCTGATCTGTGTGGCTCGGTGGTTGAACCACTCAAGGTCACTGGTTCAATTCCTGGTCAGGGCACATATCTAGTTTCCGGGCTTGATCCCCAGTAGGGGGAGTATAGGAGGCAGCCAACTGATGCAGTTTCTCTCTCACCAATGTTTCTATCTCTCTGTCCCTCCCCTTCCTCTCTCCCTAAAATCAATTCATAAAACACATACAAACATTAAGTCTATTATTAAAGAAACAAAACCAAAAAAGGCCTCCAGGAGTCCAGGGATCACATGCTTAGGCCAGTGGGTGCTCATTTGCCCATCCCGGTGACAGCTGCTGGCTCCCACCCAGGCCTGGGGAGGAGAGTAGCAGGCGTCAGACCCTGTGCCTGGCAGACAGAGCATGCTCCAGGCTCCAGCCTTCCAGG